AATTTAACATTGGTCTGAACTAGGGAACTAATTATAACGCAGGGCTAAAACAGGACTTTGTTTCAAGGGTCAGGTTATAAATAGGGTTTCGAATATTTGGTCAGGTCATAAATAGGGTAGGGAATATCACAGATTTTGGTCATAAATAGGGTTAGGGTTTTGGGAAGCGGGCTGCATAGCCCCACCCAATTTTTCTGGGAGTACCCCCCACCCAGCCCCCGGGTATGAATGAATAATTTCAAGACGGATAAAACAACAATTCTATAGAGAATATCACGTGGTCTGTAATGGGAAAACAAAGCGCTCAAGCTAAAAACGTCTATTCCCGCCATTTTTTCAAACCTGGGAGACTGGTGCGCAGCCAAAATTCGCGCATGCTATTACGTTTTTCCACTCTGAATTCTAACTGGTGTTTCTTTTTCTTTTGACGCATTTGCATGCCTGGGTACAAGGAAATGAACCAACGACTCCTTACTGTCTCGATTCCAAAGAGTCGAGACAGTTACAGTACAACATTAGTATGACATTACGAAAAGCATACTTAAAGTGTTAAATGCATTCAATTAACTCTCCATAAAATGTTCTCCACCGAACCAGAATAAACGCTTTCACTCTTTTCAACGCCCGGGTGTGTATTAATTTTCGGGAACTTTCATGGAGACCTTAATTCTTAGGGGACGTGGGAGGGGCCGACATTAAACAACTGGGTGAATTTCCGAAATYGGAATTGATCAACCGTAAAATTCCGGAAATTTCGCGAGGAAAATACAATGGAACGGGAATTCTCAGTAAGAAATTTTCCAAAGTTTGGGTATACCTCGAGAGTTTGTAATCTTTTCCGCAACTTTCGGAAATCCCTCTTCCATTCGCCGATAGAAACTTCCTCAAATTGAACCGGAATTTTAGGTCAATTAAAAAAGAAGCGCACGAGGTTTCTGTTGCATGAAGCGAGAAGAGAATTTCTCATCTAGGATGTGAGGCTAATCGAGAGTAGGTTAACCTCAGCTAGGATTTAATTTGCCGAAACCCATTTACTCTCCTGGGTGGAGAGAAGCACCATGAGTAAGAACACAGCACAATGGCCCCAGCCACGGCTCAATCCCAGACTCCTCGAACCAGAGTCCACTAACCATGCGGTCTCTCTGTCTTCATACAAGTTATATATATAAAATTTCAAGTTTTTAACATACCTTCTTCGAAGAAAAATTAACTAGGTAATTAACAAAAACAATAAAAATAGGAAAGAATAATCTGTGCACTACAAACGTGTCCTTTAAAGTCTAATTTATGGAAGAGTTGCAAAATATTCAATTTTAAAGCTGCACAGCTGGTTCAAGCCATTGTCTCGAATTTTCCTGGGAAGATTATTCCATCTTCCTTTGCATCAGCATAAATGAAGTTTGGGACATACCTGTTCTAGTGCTTGACAGGTTAATTAACTTTCCTGTTTTCTCACACGGTCCTTTCAACGAATTGCTGGCTTGTTTTGAATTGACTGGAGAAAAGGCTACTTGGTTGAAAACGGAACACTTAAACACTGCGATAAATTTGAAAATGAAAATGGGTGTTAAAACATTTATTTCAAAATTACGACCCTGAAGAAAGTTGACTTGTTTTGCGTTAATCCTTGACACTGTGCGCATTTCATTTACGCATTGCAAATATGCATTGCTGACTTATTCTGTAACTATCATCGACTAAATCAATTGTGACTTGATGAGTAGCAAAGACTTAACTGTTTGAAGGAACATTCAAAACATACCAAAATCTTGAAAATGAAAATGAGTATTAAAACATTTTACATTTTAGAAATTACATCTAGGAAAATTGATTTGTTTGGAATAACCTTGAGAGTTATAATATTAGTATTGTGGCACACGCTTATTACACGTATTCAATTCCATAGTTATATAATTCCACCCAAACGTAGATTGAACACGGTAACTGAAAATAACAAAATTACAAACACGGGTATGAACATAAAATAACTAACAACGACCGAATATAAAGAATGTAGAAAAACGGCAAAGCGAAATAAACGAGGAAACTTACAAGACGAACGTGACGACCAAAACCAAAGACGATCTGTAAAACTGAAGCAAATCCAAACAAGGCGTATACAGAGACTAAAACCGCTACTGACTACATAAATTACGCGCGAACTTGACACCAAACACGAAGCTGTGACAAAAAATTCTGGCGCCTACAATTAGCATTTTAGCATTTTAGAATACTGTTTTACGTGGATTAATTCGACGGTTGTCAGGTTAGA